TAGGTCTTAGGTCCCGGCTTTCTACCTCCACATCACTAGGCTTGAATCTGGAAGGGGCTGTGGAGACCAGCTTCTTTTTAGATACCTACCACTATTGCTTTAGTGTGTTTGTCTTTTTGGAGGAATGATGGTGCCTGATGAGATAATACTTGTAAAATGCTTCCCAGAGTACCTAGCAAATAGTAGGTTCTTAATCAGTACTGTCCGTGCCACACCCCACCACCCCCAGGATGTAAACCTGGATTTCAATCCTGCCCACACTTTGGCTGTGATCCTTAACCTCCCAGGCTCTGGGCCACTCTCAAGTTGCAAAGGCAGTGCTGACCTGTGTTGGAAGAGAGATTTTCTCCACCCTGATGTTCCCTATACCAATGAAATCACCAGGTCCAGTCCCTGGCCTTACGTTTGTTTTACCTTTTAACATAAATGCTTGCTGACTGATACCTTATAAGAGGTGATCTGAGAGTTCCCTGTTTTGGTTAAAATTCATAAGCATTTGTTGAATCAAATAGAAACTCCTCTGTCTGGCATTCTGAATTCTTTACAAGTTGGTCTCAGGTTTCAGCCTAATTCCATCTGACTCCTCTTCACACGCTCTGAGGTAGGTCCAGCCAAACTCATGTACGTCCAGTTTCCTGGCCTTTGTCCCTTGGTCATGCCCTGTGCCTGGAATGTACAGCCTCCTCACTTCTGGCCTCATAGATCCCCTTACTTCCCTCAAGATCTGATCCGGTACCACCTTCTGTCCTGGTTCCCCCCAGTAGCTAGAGCCCACCCTCCATAACTACTTAAGATTTACTTGGCAAGTCCTTTGGTGGGTACTGTTTCATTTTTTGTTTTAGATTCCTAGCACTAAGCAAATAATTAAAATAAATCTGTGATTTGTTTATACATATTTATTTATTTGTCTTTCCCATTAGCTCCTCGAGGGCAGGGACTGTCTTGTTTTTCTTTGTCTCCCCAGTGTTTAGCCCAGTGCCTACCTGGTACTGTAATAGGAGCTTTAATGAATGTGGATTGATTTCATTGGTCCAGACCACCCCGGTGAGAAGATTCCTTCTACCTATGCAGGTCAGCATATTCTCTGGAATTTGCCGGACCATTGGGCAAAGTACCACCTCGAGAGGTTAAGTTATTTTCGCAGGGTCATGCAGAGGCCTGGAAGCCCAGGTCTTCCTTGCTCCACAGCCAGCTCTGTCCACTAGGCTGTGCTGGCTTTCTAGCAGAAGTAGTTGGTTAAGATATGCTTGTTATTGCCAGGTTTGGGACTGAGTGCCGAGAAGGCAGAAATGAACAGCCATATCCTCATGAAGTTTACATTCCAATGTGGTATAATCAGGAGGTTGCAGATGAGTAAAAGACAGGACAGTTGGAAGAGGGAAAGAGGGGGGAGTCGGGTGGGAAGAGTTACCTCAAGGGGAGGAGCCCCTTAGGGGATGGCTAGCCCAGATCTGCCAGTCTGAGACTGATGAGCTGGTAAACCCAGCAGCCTGTCAGAGGGCCTTGTTTCTGAGGCTGGCACCACCCCACCCCCAGGAATGGGAGGCAGGGGGGAAAAGAGGAGCACCTTCTGTGTTCCAAGCACTGTGCTAAGCATTTGACAGATAGTAGTGCCTTTGATCTCACAGAGCAGATTTAGCATTGGTAGGCCCCAGGGATTTTGTTTTGTATCCCCAGAATCTTGGCAAGTGGTAAGCATTTAATAATTACTTCTCTGACTGAATCTGGCCCAACCACCTCATTTTACAGAAAAAGAAACTAGATCCCAGAGAAGGGGTCCCTTGCCCAAGGACGTGAATGTAGTAAGTGATTTTCCAACTTGAAACCCAGAATTTCAAATTGAATGCTGCTTCCAGTAGATTTAAATCACAAGATTATTGATAAAAATCTAGAACTTAAAAGGACTTCAAAGGCCATCTAGCTGAAAAAAATCTCCTTTTAGAGATGAGGAATTTGAGGCCCAAAGAGGCCACGTAAGGTCGTACCACTAGCAAGGTCACGCCATGCTGGGATTTGAACCCAGACCCTCTGTCTTTGAGCTAGTGCCTTTCCCATTCTGTTAGGCCCGGAAAGCTCACCTCGGGGTATGTAGCAGAAGGAAGCCTCCTCCCCCACACCCGTGCCAGGCCTCGGCTCCAGTAAAAATAAACAGACAAGTAAACAATTAGCAGATTTACATAAGGATTGCCAAGCCGAGCTGCTCTCTAGCAGTCTCAAGCAACCCCTCCAGGCCCCGAGGACTGCCTCCACCAGGAGGTTACCAGCCCCTGCTTTTTCTCTGACCCAGGTTCAAGAAGGCAGCCTTTGCCCAAAGGGTCCCCACTTCGTTGCCCCTCCCAGGATTTTGCAACAGGGAGCTCCCTGGGGGATTGGGAGTGGAGGGAGGGGAGAAGTGGAGCTGCTTTTGCTGACTTTGGTGGAATCCATCTGGTGTAGCCCAGAGGACTTTGGATTAGGACCCAGGAGGACCCGGCTTCAAGTCCCGGTTCTGCCTCTTCCTATCTGTGTGGCCTTGAGCAAACCTCCTCTCAAAGGGGGTTTTGTAAAATGAGGGGAAGTTGTCTGCCCCGGTCCCTTCAACCTATGGCCCTCTGCAACCTTGTCTGTATTCGGATGTTGGGAGTGGGCCTCCTCTCCAAGACATTTACTCAGTGCCTGCCTATAGGGCCCCAGAAGTACTGCTATTTACATAGTCCGAGCTCCCAGCCTTCATGGAGCTTAGCAGGGGGTCAAGCCACGGACACACATAGAAAACACTCAGCTATTCTTACATGAAGCTGCTGTGGTGAAATGCAGAGTGTGACTCAACTTAGTTGTTGAGTCATTTCAGTCGTGCCCAGCTCTTCATGACCCTGTTTGCCTTTTTTTGGGCAGAGACACGGGAAACGTTTGCCATTTCGTTCTCTAGCACTCATTTTACAGTTGAGGAAACTGAGGCAAGCAGGGTGAAGTGACTTGCCCAGGGTCACACAGCTGGTAAGTCTCTGAGGCTGAATTTGAACTCAGGGCCTCCTGACTCCAGGGCTGACACCCTGTCCACTGAAGTGCCGCCTGGCTGCCAAATCCAGTGGCCTTTTCTGGGTTCTCATTCTTGAAGTCTCTGCAGCCTCTGGTACTGTCAATCACTTTCCTCTTTAGGCTTTCTCTGCTCTCTCCTGATTCTCTTCCTACCTCTCAGACTACTCCTCAGTTTCCTTTGCTGGGTCCTGCTTCCGATCACACCCTTTGACTGCAGGGGTCCCACAGGGCCATGTCCTGGGCTGCCTTCTCTTCTTCCATTCTGCTTTGCTGAGTGATCTTATCAGCTGCCATGGATTGAATTACCATCTTTTTGCAGATGATCCTCATATCTACCTTCCCTGCCCCAAACTCTCTCTTGACCTCTAATCTCAAATCTCCAGGTGCCTTTCAGACATCTGGAACTGGATTCCGGTAGACATCTTAAACTCCATGTGTCCAGAATGGAACTCTGTCTCTTTCCTTAAAGCCCCTCCCACCTCCAGCCTCACTGTAGAGGTCAACTCCACACTCCCTGGACTCCTCACTCTCTCTCACCCCTTCCCCAGCATCCAAGCTGTTGCCAAGGGCTGGCACTGCCCTCTTCTCTTCTCTGACACTGCCCCCACTTTGGTGCTCCTACCTCATCACCCCGTATTGCTGAAGGAGCCTGTGAGTGGGTCTGTCTTCATGTCTCTCCCCACTCTGATCTGTTCTCCATTTAGCCAGCAAAGTGATTTTTCTAAAGTGTAGGTCCACCCCTGTCACTCACCTGTTAGATAAATCCCAGTGATTTCTTATCAGCTCCAGGATCAAATATCAAACCCTCTGTCCAAAGCCCTTTATAGGCTTCCCCTTCCTTACTTTTCCAGTCTTTTACTTCTTTAGCACCCCTACACATACTCGATGATGTGGTGACCCCAGCTTCCTTGCTGTCCTTGCTGCTGGGCACTCCATCTCCCACTTCCTCCTGTGGGCATTTTCACTTTTATCTTCCATGTCTGGAATGCTCTCCCTCTACATCTCTGCCTCCCAGCTCCCTTGAAGTCCCAGCTAAAATCCCACCTCCTGCAGGAAGCCTTTCCTGAACCCTCCTCATGCAGGTGCCTTCCCTCTGTTGATTTCCTATGTATGCTTTGTATAGTTGTGCGTTATGTTGTCTCCTTGGTTAGACTGTGAACTCCCAGAGGGCAGGAACTGTTTTTCTTTGAGTGTCCTGTCCCTGCCCAGCTTGGCACAGTGCCTAGCATATAGCAGGCAATTAAGTAATGCTTGCTGACTGACCCCAATTGAGTCATGGTTGGATCTTAGAGGCCTTTGAATCCAAACTCATTTTACTGATGAGGAAACCGAGTCCCTGAGAAGTTAAGTGACTTGTCCAGGGTCACACAGTAAGCACTCCTTTCCCTTATGTCAAAGGTAGGATCTGGAGCAGAACCAAATCAGCTGAAGCCTCTATCCCTCACTTCCCTGGAGGGGATTCTAAACTAGCCAGGCAGAGGAGCTCTTGGAAAAGCCAATGGGAGAAAGAGGTCCTTGGCAGAGATGGGAAATGGGCCAATCAGAACAAGCTTTTGTCTGAGAAGGCCTCTTCAGGGCCAGTGAACGGCCAGGGGTGGAGTCAAGAGGGGCCTTGACCTCTTCCATCCCAAGTTTTAGGGTTCTTTCTCTGTAAGAGGTCACGACCTGGACCCCAGAGCTCATCTGAATCCTGGGGACATCTGCTCTGTGGGAGTATTAGTTTCAGGACTGCACTTCCCAGAATGCAGCCCTGGGGATCTTAGGGTCAGAGGAGACAACTGGGCTTCCTGGGGGGGAATAAGCTTGACTAAGGCCAGTCACAAAGCTAGGAGGCGACAGAGTGGCGTTTAAGCGTAGGGCCTTAGATTTCTACTACCGAGTTCTTTCCACTACTCGCGGCCTTTCGAAAGCCGTGGGGAAATGGTGCCCCCTGGCGTCCAAGGTCGTGCTGCCGCAGCTATGACTCCCGGGGCGGGAGGAGCTGAGAAGAGCGGAGCATGCTGGGAAGGGGGCGACTGTGCGCCAATGACCAAGGCCCTGAACTACAAATCCCAGCGGCCCCCGCGCGGAAGGGAGGTGTCGTACCGGATGTCCGTTTCGGCTGCGGCCCGGACAGCAGCCTGAAGCCGCGGCTTTGGAAGTCACCCAGTCTCCGCGGGACCCCGGAGATCGGGGAGATCGGGGTGGGGGCTCGACCCCGAGGGATCGCCATGGTAACGAGGATCGCGCGGCCAAGAATCTTGGGGCCCCGTCAGCCTTCTCTGGGCCCGGCTTCTCCATCCCCCCGCACCTCCCCCTAGGCCGGGTCCGCTGGTTCTGGCCGCGCCCTGGATTAACGGAGCCGGGACAGACCAAGGGGGAGGTGGGGGAAGAGAGAACATGGAAGGAAGCGCTGGGCCGGGGGGGGGGGTGTCTGCAGGAGGGGAGGGGTGGGCAGGGAGAACCCAGCCACCTGGAGAGGAGCTTGGGACCTAGAAGACACCCGGAGGGGGGGGGAGAGCTTAGGACCTAGAAAACACCTGGAGGGGTATGGAGAGGAGGAAGGGGATATTGGGACCTGGAAGACACCCGGAGGGGGAGGGGGAGCTTATGACCTAGAAAACACCTGGAGGGGGATGGGGAGGAGAAAGAGGAAACTGGGACCTGGAAGACACCCGAAGGGAGAGGGGAGCTTGAGACCTGGAAGACACTTGGAGGGGGAAGGGAAGCTTGGGACCTAAAAGACAGCTGGAGGGATGTGGGGAGGAGGAGGAAGGGTAGCTTGGGACCTGGAAGGCACCTGGAGGGGGAGGGGAGCTTGAGACCTAAAAGACACCTGGAGGGGGAGCGGAGCTTGGGACCTAGAAGGCACCCAGAGGGGAAGGGGGAGCAGGAGCTTGGAACCTGGAAGACCCCTGAAGGGGGAGGGGAGCTTGGGTCCTGGAATCGCTGAAGAGAGACAGGGGGTTTAGAAACTGGGCGCCTGGACAGCAGAGGGGGAGTATAGAATTGGGGGAGATTAGAGCCTGGGAGAAGGGAGGTAGATCAGGGGACCCTGGAAGGGAGGGAGCAGAGCGGAGAACTTGGGAACCTGGAGGGAGTAGTTTAGGACCTGTTGAGCCCAGAGGGGAGGGTGGCATCTGGGACCTGCAGTTAATAGCCCTGCTCCTGTCCTCAATCCCTCTGCCTCTTCCTCACTTCCCTGGGGCTGGGCTAGTTCCTGGTAATGGCAGGAAGCAGTTGGCCTGAGCTCAGCAGCCAGAGTGTCCCCCAAGGCAGCTGAGCAGGATGACTCAGGTCCAGGGAGTACAGACCAGCAGAAATCTCCCCCCCCCCCCCCGCAGTGTCCCAAGGCCTAAGGTGGGGGGAGACTATGGCAGATTCCATGGGGGAGGTAACCAGGATGGGTCAAGAAAGGACAGAGATTCCTCATGAGCACATCCCCTCCGGGCTTTGCCACCTCTGACCCTGCCCACACCCACACCCCCTTCCCCAGCTCATAGCTTCCTGTCTTTTCTCAGATCCGATTCATCCTCATCCAGAACCGAGCAGGCAAGACCCGCCTGGCCAAGTGGTACATGCAGTTTGACGATGACGAGAAGCAAAAGCTGATCGAGGAGGTCCATGCTGTGGTCACAGTCCGGGATGCCAAGCACACCAATTTTGTGGAGGTGAATGCTCTCCCCCCAGCGCTCACCTCAGGACCTCCTCTCTTCTGGGCCTCATGTTTTGGGAAGGACATCAATAAGGCAGCTGGGTGGTGCGGGAAGTTTAATTCAGCTTCAGTTTCTGCATCTGTAAACTGAGGATAATAATTGCTCCTACCTCCCAGGGTTGTCGTGAGGCTCAAATGAGATGATATTGTGAAGGGCTTTGCCAGCCTAAAATGGATCTACATGAATGTTAGTTAATATTCATATCCTAGGGGAGGGGGGCGTCATCGTGGTGATGAGAGGGCTGGAGAGTGCACCAGACAGAGGTCTGGGGACAGCACTAGGGTGCTTACCTGGCAGACCAGAAGACTCTGGGGGCACAGTCGAAGTCTTTAAGGGGTGGAGGAGGGCTTAGGGTTGCTTTGCTTGACCCTAAGTGGGTGTTACTGACTGGCAGGTTTGGGCTGTCTGTAAGGAAACACTTTTCCAAATTCAAAGCTCCCCAGAGAGGCATGGGCCGCCGTGGGCAGTGCTGGCTTCTGCAGCAGTGGAGGCCTGCAGGCAGATGCTGGAGAATGCCCCTTGAAGAGCAGAATCGCTCTTTCTGTCAACAAGAATAAAGGCCACTAGGGGGACCTAAGTTCAAATCAGGCCTCAGCCGTTTACTACCTAGTGACCCTGGGCAAGCCACATCACCTCTCTCTGCCTCCGTTCCCTCTGTGAAATGGGGATGATAGCAATAGCACCTACCTGGCAGGGTTGTTGTGAGGCTCACATGGGATGATACTTGTAATGCAATCAGTGGTGAGATTTGAACCCAGCCCTTCTGCATACTTTCCTGTGTACATGTTTGTTTCTCCCAGGAGAAGGGCAGAGACTGAGCCGTGTTTATCTGTGGATCCTCTCCTGTGCCTGGCACTAGCATAATACTAGCTCTGTGCATCTTCATCGTTTCATTATTATGTGCCGTGGGTTTACAGCATAAACACAAGACAGTCCCTGCCTTCAAGCAGCTTACATCCTATGGAGAAGGTTATGTATGTCAGCACAGCCTTACAAGATACAGGGTACGGAGAGGCACTTTAGACCACAAGGTATCCCCACCTTGGGGCAGGAGGGAAGGCTTCCTGGAAGAGGTGCTGCTTGAGAGGAGCCAGGGGTTCTACCAGGCGGAAGTGAGGAGGGCAGGCATTCCAGGCATGGAGATGAGAAGTGGAGTTTCGTTTATGAGGAAAAGCAAAAGGCCGATGTGGCTGGACCCTAGAGGACCTTGGAAAGGAGTAATGTACGGGAAGGCCTCCATTGTCAAATAGCAGCATTGAGGGGAGAACAGGGAGGGCACAGGCCTCTGCTGCTTCCCACATGTCCACCTTGCAGGTTCCCATCCCTGCTTCCAGGCTTCTCCCTCTGACTCCTGGGCCTCTCCGTCTTCCCACTGACTCCCCCACCATCCTGTCCCCAAGGCCTCTTCAACCTAGACAGCCCGGCTGTAGTTCCCTGTTGGGCCACACGAGGGCGCGATGCTCCCACCGCAAGCCCTGGAGGGAATGAGGGCGTTTCAGGTCCATCTCCAAAGACGAGACCCAGAAATGGGGTGGTGGAACTTGGGGCTCGTTCTGGCTGGTGCCAGGGCAGCATGGGGCAGGAGGACCAGCCCAGGAAGCCAGGTGCTGCCTGTCCAGGCTAACCCCCTCGTTTTACAGCCCAGAGGGACTCGAACCCAGGCCTTCTGTATATTGTATTGTGTATGTACTATTTCCCCCAGGAGAATGGAAGCTTCTTAAGGGCAGGAGCTGAGTCATATTTGCCTTTGGATCACCTCCCGTGCCTGGCGATGCTGGTTGAATTGAACTTAATTGAACTCCTTCGTTTTATAGATAAGAAAATGGAAGCCCAGAAAATTGAGGGACTTGCCCGGGGTCCCAAGGGTAGCAAATGGCAGGGCCAGAACTTGAACCCAGATCCTCCTGCCTGCAGAGCCAGGGCTCTTTCCTGTTTTAAACTGTGACACTGAATGAGTCACATCCCCTCTCTTCCATCTTTTTGTAATGAGGGGATTAAAGTAGATGAGGTGGCTGCTTTGTTGTTCTGGGGTCCAAGGCCTCTCTCCTAACACTTGATTTTAGGACCCTCTGAGAAGGCTGGTACACCAGCCAAGAAAAAGGGAGGAAGCCAGCCCAGGGAGGAGAGAAGGTCTGAGCATCACTGCAGACTGCTGTGTCCCTGAGGAGTCCCTGTTCCCCTCAGCTCTCTGTTGTCTCACCTGTAAGAGTTAAGGCCAAACTGGTCGTCCTCGGGCCTGTCTAGCCCAAGCCCTAGCCTGGGGGTCCAGAGGCTCAGCCCCTCACAGACCTTGCCAGGTGGCCGTGGTCAAGTCCCTTTCCACAAAATAAAGGCTCACTAGAGGATTTGGAAGCTTCCTCCTGCTCTCTTGTAGGAGTTCTGGTCTCTCTGGGTCTATGTTTGAGGCTCTTCGCAGGTCTTCCTCTAAGCCGGAGGCAGTGCAGAGGGCCCAGACAGGCCTGCTTTCTGGGCCTGGCTGTGCTTGGAATCACGGTTTCCTCTTCTGTCAAATAAAGGGGTTTGTTTGAGATGGTCTCTGAGGTCCTTTCTAGCCCTGCTGGTCCATCATTGTATATTACCTGCTTCTGTCTCTGTCTCTGGTTTGTCCCCGTTTCTTTCTCTCTTCTCTGTCCCCATCCTGTCTTTCTCTCCTCTCCCTTCTCCTTCCCTCTCCTCTCCCCTCTCTCCTTCCCTCTCCTCTTCCTCCTTCTGTCTTTTCTTTTCTCTCTCCCTCCTTTCATATGTCTCTGCCTCTTGGCCAGCTGAAGGCATCAATGCCATGAGCCAGGCTCAGCCACCCCCACCTCCCATTGCCTGCCTGGGTGACCTCAGGGGAGGCCCCCTGCCCCCTGGGCCTTTGGCTGGCGAGTGAGCTGGCTGCAGTGGGCACTGATGGCCCTCTCAGCCCTGACTTTTGGCTTCTGTCCCCCCCTTGCCTCCAGTTCCGCAACTTCAAGATCATTTATCGCCGTTACGCCGGCCTCTACTTCTGCATCTGTGTGGATGTCAACGACAACAACCTGGCCTACCTGGAGGCCATCCACAACTTCGTGGAGGTGGGCCTGGGGGCTGCTCAGAGGGACCCTGAGACCAGGGCGGGAGGGGGGAAATGGAGGGGGGGGGTCAGCCAGCGCCCCAGGTGGGGGCATCCTGGCTCCAAGGAGAAGGGGAGAGCTGCCCTTGCCTTCTAACAAAGCCGTCTTCCAGCCAGCCCCTTACTGCCTCTGTTTCTCTGCCTCTTAGGTGTTAAACGAATATTTCCACAATGTCTGTGAGCTGGACCTCGTCTTCAATTTCTACAAGGTAGGGACTGCTGGGGTTGCGGGAGGCCCAGAGATCCAGATTCTCCTCCCCACTGAGCCAGCACCCCAAGCTAGGGACTCTCCAAGGCCAGCTGCCCACCCTCCAGCCCTGCCTCTGGCCCCCTCTCTCTGCAGGTTTACACGGTGGTGGATGAGATGTTCCTGGCTGGCGAGATCCGAGAGACAAGCCAGACGAAGGTGCTCAAACAGCTCTTGATGCTGCAGTCCCTGGAATGAGGGGGCCCAGGTGGTCCCCAGCCCGGGACGCCCACCCCCAGCCCCTGCCCCTCTGTCCTCCTCCCCCCATTCCCCAGCAGATGCTCTGAGTTTACCGTCTGGGACGGTGGGACCACACCCTGGCCGGGATCAGGAGGAGGGGAGACCCCTGTGTGTGTGCCATAGACCCTGTAACCCTGCTGTCATGGCAGAGATGTTGTGAGCATGTGAACAAGCCTGTGTGTGTGTGCGTGTGCATGTGTACATATGTGTGTACTTGGAGCTCCCAATAAAGTTGTGGACCTGGCCTGCCCACTGCCTTCTCCCCTTGGTGGAGCCTCTTCCTGGGCCCCCTTGTCTGCTTTTCCCAGTCTCCTCTTGGTGCCCGAGTCTGGGCCCTGAGCTTTGAAAGTCCCAGGGCTTTTTAGGACTAAAATTCCAACTCTTTGGATCTTAAGAGATTTTGAATGAGAGATAGACTATTGGGGCAGAAAGAGGCCTCGGAGAGCCCCTCGAGTCCAGCCCTGGCCTCCTCATTTTACAGGGGTGGAAAGAGACAAGGCCAGGCAGAGATAGATGGAGAGCCTCAGCCCAAGTCTACGGTGTCTCTTGCCTGCTCACCCCCAGTGGGGTTCCTGGGGTGCCATTTCTGTACCTGGCCAGTGGCTTTCTGAAGGTTCCCCATCTCCCCTCCAGTACCTCGATAGTGGTGGGCGGAGGAGGAGAGGGCTGGAGGTGATCCTCAGGCCTTGGGAGAGACGTGGAAGCCCCGCCCCCTGCCTAGCTGGCACTGGACACCTGGGCCTCCCAGTGGGGCGGCTCCCTCGGTGCCTCCCAGCTGGGCAGGCTCCAGGAGCCTTGAAGCTCTTAGCTGGGGAAGCCCTGCCTCTCCAACCCTCCCATCCTGAGTGATGCAACCCAGGGCAAGGTTGGGAGAGAAAAGAGGTTGTGGATGCCAGGCCCTTCAGAACCCCAGTCAAGAACAGAAGTGGGGCACCGAGAGCCAGCTTGCCAAGCCCCCACATCATGGTAGTGCAAAGGCAGCCGGGTGTGAATCCTGACTCAGACTTTGAGCCTTCTCTGGCCCTCACTTTATTAACCTTTAAAAGGAGGCAGCTTGATTTTCTTTGATGAGCTATCGTGTGTGCTACAGCAGACACTGAATGAGCTTGTTCTGTGCCAGACCCTGGGGGATGGGCCCTGCCCAGCTGGAGCTTCCAGTCAAGTGGGGGGTGGGGAAGATAATGTTCCCAATGTTCAATGATAAACACTAGAGAATTCCAAAAATAGCATTCTCCTGGCCTCTTCAGGCTGGCCCAAGAAGTGCTAAGTGGGGCCTGAGGGAGATTCTCACCACTTGGTCAACCAGGATGGCTCAGGGTTGCTGCCCCCCTCCCTCCCCAGCAGGAAGGTGCAGGTACTCAGCCCTGTGCTCCAGGAAGACAGGTGGGCAGATGAGGAGCCTGGAAGGTCATCTCTAAGGTGGGGCATCGAGGCAATGGGGATAGCGTGAGTGCCAGAGACCTGAGTTCAAATCCAGCCTCAGATGCTAGCTCTGTGTGACCATGGGCAGGTCCCATCGCTTGGTCTCCCTCCCAGAAGTTTTCTCTTCTGTGAAATGGGGATAAAAGTTAGCTGTAGGCACTGGGAGAAATGTTGTGAGATTCTGGTGAGATTATGCCTTTGAAGTATTGCTCATGTCATGGTTCTTGTCCTTGGGCAGCCTTGATTTTCCTCCCATCTAATTCTCCACCCACCCCCAAAGAAGCCAGAAGCTGCCTCTTCCCCAAGGGCATGTGGAGCCTGGGAGGAGGAACTGTCAGCAGTGGGCCTGCCGTGACTGGTAGAGATCCAAGCTGGGCCTTGCTCCGAGTTCAAATGGAGGATAGCCAGATTCTTCTACCTGCTTACGTGCCAGATGGAGGAGAGACCTGACGTGGTATCTCCTGGCCCAGCCCAGGGAAGAAGGGACAGACGGAGGGAAGGAGGACACCGACTACCTGGCACCCTCACTGCCTCTTAGGCCATGAGGTCCAAATATCTCTTTAGGGGAGTAAGGATTGAGGGCAGGGGTGAAGTTTGGAAGGTGGACCCACCCTCCCACCAGGGACTGATTAACAAAGCCTGGGCAAGGTCTGGATCTAAGAAGGGAGCTGGAGGCGGTGGGGGTGGGGATAATTTTTAAACCAGTTGCAGGAAGGTCATGGACAGTGGCTCACGTTTAACTTCCCAGAGGGCCTGGGATGGTTGGGGAAGCTTGGGGAGTATCCCCGGTGCCTGGGAAGGGAGACTCTTGGAAGCTTAGATGGAGAATTCCAGAACATTGGCCCAGGAAGCTCTGTCAGTCCTGGGGCAAGCTGAAGACAGAACACTTTGCCCCCATATACATGCTAGCACTGTGTAGGCCTTTGTCTCCAGGCCCCTGGTGGGGGATCCCACTTCCTGCCCTTCTGCCAAAGCAGGGTGGCTTTAGGGAGGACAAGTTGGCATTGTTGAAATGGCAGTCCCTGGTTCTCCAAGATTTTAATCACTCTGGAACCCTCTTAGGAGACATGGAAGGAGGGATGTTTGGAATACACCAGTCTAGGGGTGGTGACAATGGTTTCTATTAAGGAGTGCCAAATTTGAGAATGAAAGGTATAGGAGGAGACACCTATCCTCATCCCCCCATCTCCCGACAAGCTGCTGGGGCCTTCTCCAGCTCCTTCCATCCCAACCTCAAAGCTCTGGCTAGGCAGGCTTCCTGACTCCAGCTGCCCTTTAAAAGTTGAAAGGGAGGAGGTAGGTGCTCTGAAGTGGTTGGATCAGAGGCATCCTGGGCCCCTGCAGCTGGACTTGGGAAGTGAAGGTCAGGAGAGGAGGCAAGGTTCCCATGACACTTTTCTTCTGCCCTCTCTCCTCCCTCTAGTCAGCCCCTAGGTTTCTTCTGAGATGGGACATCGATTCCATCCTTACCTCCACCCCGCTCCCACCCACCTCCTCTACATCCCTAGGCCTAGAGCCTCAAGGGGGCAACCCCCCACTAGCCACCCCTCCTCATCAGCTTTTGGCACCTTCCAGCTATGTCTGGGTCTTAGGGTTCCTCCACTCCCACCACAGCCTTAACTTCTCCTCCCAGGGAGAAACTATCCACCCCTTAACCCACTCTGCATTTCCCTCCCCCCAATCTAACAGGCTGTCAGCACTTCCAAGGATCTGGGAATCTTAGTACCTGAGTGGATTCAGTCTTGGCTCCTCTGAGCTCATCTTGGGCCCTGGAAATTTGAGGATGATAGAACATGTGGACAAAGACTAGGGTTCATCTATCACCATACCTGCTTTGCACAAAGACCTCAAGGGGGAAATCCCACGCAGGTGTCCTGACACTGTACGCTATAGCCTCCTCCCCCACAACTCCTCCTTCACCTCTGTGGACAGGTCCCTGAGAACAGCAGGGGGACCAGTGATGAGGAGCAGACAGATGGGGAAGGGAGGGGACCAGAGCAGGGAAGAAAGGTTGTATGTTGCAGGGCAGCTAATAGAGTCATTTTTGTCCTGAATTACCTAGGGCTTCACTGGAGGGGGAGGGTAAGAAGCTGGATTGTTCAGGAATCTTGCTGAGGATGAGGGTCGTCATGGCAACCTCATCCCTTTCACTCAGCAGAGGGATGGGGTAGGACCCAGCTGTTTCTATGGAAACAGCCAGACCTAGGCTTTCCAACCATCTCCCAGTGTCTGGACCAATGCGGGAGAGCCTGGATCTTGGGAAAAGTGTAACTTTTCCTTCCCTAGCTGGAACCCAAAGTGGTTTTCCTCCTCCTCCAAGTGGTTTTCCCGGAGGCGATATGTTATGGAAAGAATGCCAGCTGAGCTCAGAGCCAGGAACCAGGAGCACAAAGGCCAGTTCTGACACTCATGATCACATGACAGAGGCAGTATCCCTGTCCCATGGGACAGTCCTCAGCTAGGCATCAGAGGATCTGGGTGCAAATCCTGCACTCTAATGCTTACCTTGAGCAACTTGTTTTATTTCTCTTACTCTATTTCTCATGTTCTTATGTTCTCATGTTCTGTTTCTCAGTTTTCTTATCTACATCGAAGTTGATTGTGCTTTGCTTTCCTCTTGTATACAATGTGACTCATCTGCTTGGAGAGCTTCCCTCCCAGGGCTTGGGAAAGCTCTGGAGACCTTGAAACCCCTGGACCCTCGGTTACCCCCCCCACCAACCAATACTGCTCTCCAGACAGCTGTGGCCTGGGTGAGGAAACCACAGAAAGCTTTGTCAGAGCGGTTTCTGAGAAAGGGGGCCCTTCTCTCTAGCTGGGGTGGCCCTCCTTGAATCTCAGAATCACAAGACCCAAACCTTTCTGGGGGGCCTTGGCCATCCTGGGAAAGAACACATCGGATCAAAAGAGAGGATCTTTGCACGGGAAGACAGTAATTGACACCAGAGGAAATACGGGGCTGCTCCATCCTTTTATTCTCTCTCTGCTGTTTTCTCTGCAAAGAAGAATGATCTTTACAATGAAAATGGCAGCATAAAAAAAGGGCGAAGAAGACGTAGACACCCAAGATAATGAAAGAGATAGCCTCTGCTGCCTTTGATGATTTGAAGCCACAGGGGATCTGGCAGCTGGAATGGCCTTGGGAAAGATCATGCAAAAGGCCGGGGTGCCACAAGCCTGGCAAAGGACAAATGCCATCGTGATTTTAAAAAAAGAAAAAAAGAAACAGCCACGTTGTGTGATATTGATAGACTTAACCCTTCTCAGCAATACAAGGATTTAAGACATCTCCAAAGGCCTCATGATGGAAAGCGCTATCCACAAAGAAGAAAGAATCATAAAGTTTGAATGCAGATCAAAGCATACTATTTGGTATTTTTTTTTCTTCTGTTGTGTTTTGTTTCCTCTTTCTGGTGGTTCCTCCTATTGGTTCTAATTCTTACAACATCACTAATGTGGAAATATGTTTAATATGTATAGCCTATATCAAATTGTGCGCCATCTTGGGGAGGGTGGTGGGGAGGGAGGGAGAGAAAAATTTAAAACTCAAAAGCTTATGGAAGTGATTGTTGATAATTCAAAATAAATTAATTTTTAAAAATCAAAAAAAAAAAGGAAAGAGGATATAATCTGCTCATTGCAGCTCAGTGGGCTGGACTTCCGTTCCAGGGAAAATTCTAGAATGGATCATTAAAGAGAGTTGAAAATCTGGAAGGGGAAGCGGTGATTGTAGAGAAGGAACAGGGCTTCATCCCCAACACATCATGCCGGCCTAACCTCCTTTCCCCCTTTTTATAGGATTACCAAACTGGTGTCTGAGGAGGGTGCCGTGGATATAA